ATAAACACACATTTTTTTGATAAATTGAATTGATCAAATTTCAAATTTCAAATGAATAATTCGTAAAGAAGAAGTAATCATTCTATTTAGTTTCTAGAAAATGGAAATATTTGCTAAGAGTTGTTAAATAGGCAATTGATGAAATGAGATAGTCGTCGATAAGTACGAACTATACTGTCAATGGATTAAATTTCAGACTGAGCTTTCTGAGATGACTAAAAGATACTAAAATTGTATATAATCCAATCTTTTAATCAATAGAATGAAGTTAGCAAGACAATAATAAATGTTAGCTTTTTAAAATTTAAAAAATTAATGAAAATTTCATTTCTTTTTTTGATTTTCATTTAAGGTAAAGCAAATGTAACTGTGGCTTATTTGTATTGTGTTTAATTTTATACCATTTTTGATAATTTGACATTAAGTGGAATTTTTAAAATTTAATTTAGATGCAGCAAAAGAAGAATTTAATAAAGGAGCAAAAGTGGAAAAATGAAAAACGAAAAAATGGATATCCATATTTAAGCTATTCATTCGAGCTATTAAGCACATTTCATTTAGTTTTACTTTTTTTTTTTTTGTAAACAAAATGATATTTTCTTGAAGGCTAAGAAATTTAACCAGTTGAAATGATGATGATAAAATGTCTAACTGAAATTTACTGAATATTATTTAGTATGCCTGTGAACAAATGAAATTTATTTGTTTATCAGTTCATTTGTTTGTTTATTTTAAAAGTATTTCTTGCTTCTATTTGTTTATTCTATTTATTACTATGTAATATGCAAATTCGAATTTTATATTTTAAATCCAAATTTAAAAATTCAACAGTTAATATTGAAACTATTATTGATATTAATAGAAGCTCCAAAAATTTGTACGTTTGAAGAAAATAATATTATCAAACAATTTAAATTTGATTTAAAATTAAATTTCATTTTCTTGTCAATGCTCTTAACTATCGTATGCAAATATGTAAATATTAAATCTCTCTTCCTTTTTTTTTTTTTTTGATTATTTAATGCATTTATATGTAGATACAATTATTTAATTTACTTATAATTTAATAGTTTTAATAGGTTTTAAAAAAAAATCTGCAATAATACTGCATTAAGAAAAAAAAAATTCATTTTAAAAATTTTTGTAGAAATTTGTGCATAGTTGAAGAATTGTGAAGAAAAAAAATGAATTCAATTTCACTAAAACTAATGAATTCAATTTCACTAGAACAATTTTATGAGTACGGCGGTATTTTATAGAAAAGTAGCAGTATACAAAAATCAATACATTTTCTAAATACACATTCTCCATGAAGATGATCCTCAAAAATTAAATTGTTTTTAATGATTTAGAAATAACTGAAATATGTTAGCAATGATTTGTAGAATAAATCTTAGTTTTTTTCAATCTAAATTAAATAAATTAAAGAAACTCAGAAGTTAAAAGAAATTTCGTCTAAATAAATCAACTCTTACTACTTTGAGAGTTTTTTTAATTCTCAAAGAATTATAAAATTAGAAAGCTATTCTTTCTAAGTCTAACATTCAAAACACAGTTATTTCCATTACCTTTCATGCATTCACTTCCAGTTTGACATCGCTATAGTTGACAAATTAATGATCAAAGTTTCTTTCCTAAAAACAAGTTTCTTTCTTATTCTTTATTTTAATTCAGCCCCAACAAAATAAATCATTCATAAAATCTCGTTTCTATTTTAAACGAAGTCGAATGATTTTTTAATAAATATTAAAATTTATGATATTTAAACTGATAATCTAATCTAGGCTTCATTTTTACTCGAATCACTGCTAATGATTATTGATTATTTCCAAACTATCTGTTCGACTCTGATCATCGATCTAAAAATCTAAGCATCGTTTGCTACTCATAATTAAATTCATCGTTGCTTTGAAAAAGTTCGCCATAGTCATACTTTTTTTTAAATTTGTTTAAAAGAATCATCAGTAGATGAACACTCAAAAATAAGAAAAAAAAATGACTGATTGTTAATGTCAAAACACAAAACCAAAAGATCAGGTCTATTTTGCTGGGGATAATTTCAACCGGAAAAAGTTGAAAGATAAAACGGAACGGAATCAAAGAAATGGAAGTGAATTAGTTTCCCAATTTATCTTCAAAGCAGTAGATGAAGTCAATATTTAATATATTTCAACTCAATCGATCTGAATTGTTTGATTTTAAAACTTCGCCAAGTTTATTTCGGTCAGAACGGAAAGTCATACCTGTTTTACGTACTCCAACTTCAGGTCATATTTCCGGAGGATAGAATATTTATTTTCTGCGGGCCGTGACCGTAAAGTACTAGAGCACCAATTTAGCTTAGCAAATGCGATATAATCAGATATTCCCACTAGGAATTCCGGTTTGTTTAACGGTTCATTTCAGGTTAAGCCTTTCTTTCTGTTAGCGAATTTCGGAATTGGGTTGCAAATCACGTTTGATTCAAAAAAGTCTGCTAATATTTGTTTAAAATATTACTCACTATTCTCTGAAATAACGATAATTTACATTACAGAATTTGTAAGATTATCTTGTAATGTTCATTTCGGTTGTGCTTTAATTGAATCTCAGAATGACTCTTGAGAATAAGTAAGTTTTTTCACTTGTATGTTTCTTTTTCTCTTGGAAATTGAATTTCTGAAATTTGAGTAAATTTGTCTACTTATTATTTGGTAAATATATTTCATTCTTCTGAAGAATACGGATTTGAAAGGAAGAAAATATGGGGAAAGTAGGGGAGCTAGTAGGAAATTTGAGTAAATTTGTCAATAATTCTAACTCTTCTTCCTATTTTCATTGCACAAAGTTTAATAATAGACAGATTATAATCAAATTATATCGAAATTTTATTACAGATTTACGATAGCATCAGATGCTGTTGTATGTAAGGAAGCAACTTTGGAAGGAGATATAACGATTGGTTCAGGTATCTTATAGACTATAACCATTTTATCATGAATATTTGATTCAATTGTAAATACTAAGTAATATGGCGGTATTGTTTACATTTCGCTATGACATTTTGACATTTTTTTTTTTTTCATCTGTTTCTGATCTCGATTAGATATAATGATGTGATACCGTTGTATTTGAAATACGTATGAAATGTAATCGTTTTACAAAAATACATTATATATTTCTCGACGTATGTTAGAATGAATAGTAAATCACAAACTTTTCATTTCCATATCAAATATTTCACAGGAATTTTCCGAAAGACTTTTCGAATTACTTCAAGAAGTTTTCAAAAAGATTATTGTAAAGACAAGACTTTTCGTTTTTAGAATGGCTATTATGATCTGTTGAGAATTGCAATTTATTGAGAGATAAGTCGACAAAAGATTTCGGAGCTATTGGAACAATTGAAATACATTTAGGTACCGTTGTTCATCCCACAGCTGTTATACGTGCTACAAATGGACCAATTATTATCGGTGAAAATAATAACATTGAGGAGACTTGTGTTATTGAAAACTTGTGAGTAAATTTAAGCTATTTGAATTTTCGGAAGAATTTCTCGGAAACACCTGGGAAAACATTTCCTTCATTTTCTTTCCATTTTTCAAAGTAAGATGTGTTCCAGAAATGACAATGGTGAAGCACTATTAATCGGTCGTGATAATGTTTTCGAAATTGGATCTAGTAAGTGAAATTTTGGAATAAAATTTACATCCCAGTTGTTTTTAAATTCAGAAACTGATTATCAACTTTACTATATTAAAGCGTTGTATTATTTGCAGTTGTTCATGCACCAAAGATTGGTAATAATAATGTTTTTGGTGCTCGATGTCAGGTGGGTCCAAATACAACGGTTACACGAGGCTGCTTCATTGGGACCAACTGCATGGCAATGCTACGAGAAGAGCTACCAGAAAACACCGTAATATACGGTAAAAGTAATAGTCGGCGAGTAGCGCGAGACCCACCACAGGTAATGTGTTTAGGACCATAATTTAAAATGCAAATTAATATACTGCATTAGTGTTAATGACGAAAAGATAAGTAAATCTAATTTAAAAGATTTTTGGTTCATTGAATTCTGTGAAATGAATCTAACTTCTTTATTTTAAATTGAAATCTCCGGTGAAATTTGCATAGTTGGCTTTTTTCAGATCCAAACAAGCCAATTAGAATATTTAAGAAAGGCACTCGAGAGATTCCATTACTTGATAAAGTCGTCATAATGGTTTATTTCCATATCCCTTATAATGAACCGTGATACAAAAATTCAGATTCTGTGATTTTTGTTACTATCTTTCATAGCACCTTTCACTCAAAATATTACAACCGATCAGAGAGGGACACACACACACAAAAAAAAAAAGAAATTCAAAACACAAGTTTTTGGTTCATAGTGATGCTTGATGAATCTTCTAAAAGTCTGTATTCATATTACTACATATAATCATTAAAGACTTTTCCAACTCTTCACCTCAAAAGCATTTCAGAATTACTAATACAAAATAACGAAATATGAGTTGCTTTGAATTTGCGATAAATTTTTACAGTTTAAGTTTTAAAAAGATACTACTCATAGAATTACTCTTCTGGAAAGTTTGTTAGCAATGTATACATATCAAATATTTTTTTCTTTTTTGTTAAAATAATTCATCGGAAGAATTGACGGTCACTACTGACATGCAACAGTGAAAAGATATTTGCTGAACGAATAAGTAAAGGAGAACCAAAAAACTATAGCACTCATCAAAAACACAAAATAGAGGGACGGGGGACTGTAAAAATTATGGATACTAATCATTAAAGTTCGATAATTTGGTTGTTTTTCTCTTGGAAAGCTTTCGATTTTTAGAGATTTAAGAGATTTCATCTTTTCTCCAAGTGAAAAATTTGATTTAAAGCCCGAAAGAGAGCAGTCACTACCCTGTTTACCTCTCCTGAACTATGTCGCTTGTAACAGAAGATGCACTTCAAGCTTCATTTGCAAATAGAGTTATCCATTTCTCAAATTTCAATTGGGATTAATTGCTTATCGCAACTTCTTTATTCTTGTTTCCTCTTAAAGCCTTCATTTTCTTTGTCTGCATGCTATCAATGTTCTGTTTCCCGACATGAATACGCCCAAGCTCAGTGCCAAACACATCCGTTGACATATTTTTTCGTTTTTTAGCCTAAAAATCAAGAGTTCAGCAGAAATTTGGAATGAAATTACTTTCCTACTTCTTCCATCAGTATTGTCCTCTAAACCAAAATTCACCTATGCTAAAAGGAAACTTTTTCCATTTCAAATGAACTATCAGACTCGTAAAGATTAAATCCCTTTTCTCCACTCCAATTCACTCCTCATCAAACAATAACCAAAACGGTTAAAGAAGCCAAGTTAATAAAGAATGTTTACCAAGATTTGTTTCGGCTGTTTCATTGCTTCTCGGAAAAGACTTTCACTGGCAAATTTACTTCGATGTACCGAAAAATCAATTCGTGGTCCAATTTCAACAAGTTCTATCCTTGGCGATGTACCCGTTGACTTTTTCAAACAGGTCCTAAATTTCGAAAAAAAGTTTATTTAGAACCTAATTACTCTAGCAGTTATGCTAAGTGATAACTGATCCTAGGCCTCGATGTGACCAATTTGCTGATTCGTCGTACTAACTCCTCTCTTCCATCTTTCATCTAGAATCTAGGACATGAACCTTCTCATAAACTAGCTGAATAACAGGTTTATTTCTTCTGATACAAGACATATATCTGCTGGCAATTATCTCTGATCACAAAATCAGCTTCTGTATAATAAAAAAGTCTGAAACATGCAACAAGAAAAATCCAATAATTTACCACACGTACCTGTACACTCGAAGATAAATTTTTTGCTCTAGAGCAGTCAGCGAAATAACAAGTTCCAATCCTTGCAAGCGTATATTCTCAACCACTGCACCACGAAACCAATCGACCATCAAATTACCGATACGCTTCATCGATTCATCCTTTTCAAATTCTGTTCCTTGCAGAACTATACACGGTTTACAACCAAAAGATACTTTGGCTGACTGAAATATTGTGCGTTGTTATTTGATATATTTTTCAGGACGAAAAGTTCTAAGGAAAAATTAAAGAAAAGAAAGAAAAAATGTTACACTTTTAAAATTATTAATCCTCTCAAATCAAACAAACAAATATCAAATACATATTACAAAATAAAAAAACTTATTGGCATTACAATTGCAAATAATCGCTTGTAAGAAGTTCTATAAACGTCAAAAAAAAAAAAAAAAATTTTTTTTTGCTCGAAGGGTTATTGAAATGCTTATGGCATCGCTTATAAGAAAACAGCAATAGGCTTTCGCTTAAAATATTATTTTTAAGATATTTCTTTTTCCCCACAAGTGATACTCTTGGTATCACGAAAGTGTTCAAGCCAAATTTGAACACTACCCCTATTAAATTCTGTGTCTAGTAGAGTAATTACTATAGGCATTTGAATTTATACAACAACTTAGGCACGTTAAAATCACTAAAAAGCCTCAAACTTTCTAAAACTTCCGATCAAATTACATCATCACTATATCATTACCAAAATCTCATATATCATAAAACTTAAAAATCAAGTTCAATAATGCTTCTGTTTTCATTTTATGTAATTAAACTCACATGAAAATCTGCAGATTTAACAAAATTTTCAATCTGCAACTCGACCATGTCGAGAACATGATAGTCATACATACGCCCCATAACCAAACTATTCCGATGTTTTTTAGAATTTGAACCAAACAAAAATAACGATGTGTCATATTTCATTGCAAAACTCTCCAATTCAACATCATTTTCAAATGGATGAATTGGATTATGCCTGAAAATACGAAAAAATTAAATTACTTGTGATACTGCAGTTTATGTACCATTGATATGCAAACTCATTCACAAAACCATAAGTGCTCCCAGTGAGAAACTGCATCATAACTTTTGTACAGCAAAAAAAAAAGATTATCAATGAGGTCAAACCTTTTCATGCGAATAGCCAATGGCTTTTTCAAAGCATACAGATCAGCTAAAGCATCAGTAACAGTTTGATTTGTTTTGCCGCCTTTTACGATTACAGCTGTTTTATCATTCTCAACAACTTTTGGTTGACGATTTTCTAGAAATCGTTTGCCACGACGTGTTTTCGCCTTCCTAAAACAAACATTAATTATTGCCTAGAAGAAACCTTTGTTAGAAATGAAGAAATAGTCTCATATTCTGAGATAGAATAAAGATTATTGAAATACCCGACAAATTAACTATAGAAGGAAGCAAAAACAAGAACTATCAAACATCTAGCAATGGCAATGGTATCTTAAGTGCCAGGACTGAAAAAACCAAAAAAAAAAAAATGAAATCAGCAGAATCGAAATCTCTATAATTGGTTATTTAATCAAGAATTTAACTTTTGCTGGAATAAAAAAAACATAAAACCTCAACATAAATTAAACTAACCTCAAATTACCAATTCCCATTACGCCTTTCCAACAAGTAAAATAATGCTGGCGTGCTTTTCGACTGCTCTAAAATTCATTTCATATAAAATATTATTGAAACTTTATGAAAAACAAACATTCAAGTACTAAAATTACACTTTAGCCAATGCAAAAAAGTCTAGTTGATATGATTGATGAGAATACCACTTAATAGTTAATACCCTTAAATAATTTTAGAGGTGTTCTGCGAATTAGTATTCCTACATATTTTTAGATGTGATTGAACACTCTAAAATCTGCTCAGTCCTTAAATAATGGATGCATCTGACATTTTCGTAGTTAAATTTTGGAAATAATTCATCCATTTATTTGTAAATGCGACCCTAGTTATAGCACTTTTTTAACAGCACATTTTAAATCTTAAGACTAATAGTATAATTAAGCTGAAACTGATAAATAAATTTTGGAGACAACAAAGAATGGAAAATTGCACAGAAATAAAGAGAGATATTAAATTAAAATTGAGAAATAAAATTCGGAAAAAAAAAAATAAATAATTCGAGAACAGAAACATGGACAACTAGATACGTACTGTCAGCTGGCTGTAAAATACAAAGGATGTTATTGCAGACCACGTAGCCAACTGCTCGCGAAATAGGTCTTTTAAGTTTGAAAATCTCGAAATTTCGGTTGAAAAAATGATATATAGCGAATATTTTGTAATTTTTACAGTTTTCATATTTTTTGTTAATAATCTGATACTAAATTTGGTACTAATTTGATTGTATTCATTAATGTTACTTCAAAAAATAAATTATACATATAACGTTTAGTTGTTACTCTAACTGATAACAACGATAAATATAACAATTAGCTGATAACTTGCAAAGTTTAATAAAATAATTTCAAAGACAATTTCAGAGATAGTCAAAGAAAGACAAGATAAAATCATATCAACAATTACAATGAATATAAAGAACATCGATATCATTATTTTCATAATACAATTATGAAAATAACATAAATCTACTTTCTCGTCGCACAACGAATTTTGGTTGGAATAGGATGGGCAGTCGTATTACAGCAGTGTGTTAAACAGAGATAGTAGATTTGTAGAACTGGTACTGTAGTTCTTATCGGAGTACTGTGGTTATTGTCGATGTTACTGTATGACAGGATGCAATGAAATAATCAGGAAACTCGGATGAATGACACAGTTTATTACATTTTTATCAGTGATTAAGGCTTAATATCATTAAGTGCGAGTTGCTTACGGTAGTTCAGATTAAATAATTGAATATTTAAGTATGACCAAACAATGCCTAAAGCTAATGAAGTATTCAAGCAAGACTGAAGTAATCTATAAGTAATATATAATGTATTTATCAGTGATTAAGGATTAATACCATTAAGTGAAGGAATTACAGTAGACTGTACTGTATGATAAGCAAAAAAGAGAGACGAGTTGCTTACGGTAGTTCAAATTAAATAATCGAATATTTAAGTATGGCTAAACAATTAAGTAATGCCTTGGAAAATAATAAAATATGAATGAAAGAAATGAATGGTAAAAATATTTCTTTTAGTTTTAATAACAAATGATGAACACACAACGATATAAATCAGAAAGTTATGAAAATTAAGTAATCAGTTATTTTAGTAAGTTATTTACTGCAACAGATCAAATGAATTTGGCAATTATTGAAATGTATTTATTAAAAAAAAAAAAAAAGAAAAAAGAAAAAAGATGGGTAGAATATCAGCTATACAACTGTTAGAGAGAAATGGATGAATTAAATAAATTTGTTAGGTCATGGCTTTTAAATCAAATAAAATATCAAATGATTTTGTACATATCAATAATTAACTTAAATTGTAGCGTATTTTTGCGCCAATCTGAAAGAAATAAAGATTAGTGGAAGAAGATGCAGAATTATTGTAAATTAGTTCCCATTAATTAATTCATTTCCGTGTTACTACTGCTACTGCTATTACTGGTTGGACTGAATTTTCACTAGGGTTAAAGGTCAAGTGGATGTTTCTTGTGCAACTAAATCTATTGAATAGTGCAACAATCGCCAATACACATCTGTTTATTTTTCTGGAAAGCTTGATCACAATAAGATTAAACAAATATAAAAACTTTTGTTAAAATTAACAATTAAAAATTTATCCTTATAAATAAATATTCATATAAATATAAATATTCGTACTGCTATTTAATTTCTCTTACCTGTTTTTTTTTTTTTTTCACAATTTCTAGGGAAATGAAAAGCAAAGTTTATAGAAAATGATAAAAATTAAATTTTTGCACAGAAGTATTTTTCTTCCATTTTCTGCTCTTTTTTTTTTTTTTTTTTATTTTTCTACAATTTTTCCATCTAAGATTTGATAAATTTAATCTGTAAATTTTTATTAGATTAAATTTTAGGATTACGATAGGATTGAGAATGTATCACTTTCTCAACGCTAAATAATAGTTAGCATTGAGATGGATTCGTTGATTGCCAAGCTAACAAAGATCGTTGCTAATAAGATAAAAGAGCTTTGTATAGTTGTTGGACATTTTCAATCTTATCCAAAATGCTTCCTAGCCATTAATATTAGTCATTGTTTCCAATAAATGAAAGTTTATTTTAGCTTAATAATATTTTGGGTCATTTTATTCAAGCATGTCGGACAGTGGTCAATCAGTCATTCCATTTTATCTTAGTCTTTTGTCTAAAATACTTTTAAAAAAAATAAAAGTGTAATTGAAATTGTAAAAGTGAAAGTAAACATATGAATGCAAAAAAAAAAAAAAAGCTGAAGTCTTTTAAATTTCATGAAATATTCGTTTGCTTATAATTTTTATAAATATAATTTTTGATTAAATTCTTGCATTATCTAGTTTATCTTAAATAAGTAATGCTTGGTTTTGATTCCAGTTTTACTGGCATAGACAAAAACATCGAACTTTTAATTTCTACTATGCTGCGATAACAATAAATTGCAATATTTGATAATTTTAAAGTAACAGAAGCAAAAGCTAATTTAGTTCCTTTTGATAACTTAAATTAAACATTAAATATATTTAAATATTTAAATTTTAGCTGAAAGATTTAAGATTTTTTCTTCCCTTAAAATTATGTTTGCAAATTGCAACATTTTTGTACATAAATGCTTTTAATTAAGAGATAAATAAAATTTAAATTGTTCATTATTTTTTTGTTAATCAATTAATTGATCATAATGATAAGTGGGTGATTAGCTGATATGATAGCTTATTGATTTAATAAAATACATTTTACTTTTTAATTTTCAATTTTTTTTTGCTGGAGTAAAAAGAATTGTAATTATATAATCAATTAGTTAGATTTAAACTACATTTTTTTTTTTAAATCAAATTCTTCGATAATCTCTTGTATTTTTTTCTTTCGATCGGATATTATGGATAGAAAAGGGCAACAAAAAGAGGAAGAGAAAGAGAAAAAAGAAGAAAGAGAGAGAGAGAGAGAAAGAAAAGGAAATATAAATATGTTTGAAAGTTTGATGTCCTACCGTACTTGGCCATAATATTTGGCCAGATGTGAGAGTAACAAATGGAACAAAATGAGCCAAATATATTAGTTTGGTTGGAGAATGAAACCATTAAGCTTAATTGAGGGTGGAGCAATGACAAACTACGAAAGCATCAGTGTCATATAATTTTTGTTGAATAAATATTCTAAACCAAATTCTCAAATGGATGATTTCATCCGTTTCAAACTAAATCTTTTTCATATATTTGATTGATTCGTTTTTTTTTTTTTTTTCTATTTCCAATATTCATTAAATTTGTTTATTCATTTTTCGTTTCATTTATTTCTTCATTTGAATAGAAGAAATTTCATTCATTTACAAATAATTTATTTAAAGTAATTTAAATGAGTATTTGTTATTAAATATTTGTTTGCACAGTAATTTATATTACAGTAATATTTATGATAATTTACATTATCATAAATTGTTATAATATATATTGCAATTATGTAATTATTTTATATCAAAATATTTAATTATGTTAGACAGAAAATTAGATTAATTTCAATTTACGTAATAATAGATTAAATTTAAACTAAAATACAATATGTTAATGTAACTAGAATTAACTAACAATTGAGCTTTTAATAATTTAATTAGCTAACTATAATATAAAATATTTAGCTATGCATAAAAGATGAAACATCTAAGAGATGAAACGAATGAAACATTCGAGAAAGATTTATTCGAGAATAAATATTTCATTCGAGAATTTTTCAAAAAATTTTTTTTTAAAAAAAAAATAAATTGTTTTTCTTTTTCATTATTCCTTTTTTTTTTAAATACAACAATATTTCTTGTTTTTTTTGACTTGTTTTTTTTTTTTTAAACTTGTTATAAAATTGGTATATATTTTTAAAAGTAAGAATTAATAATTTATAGAAATTTGCAATTAACATTTAAAAAAATAGTTGCAATGATAATTTTAGAATGAATATGGTCGATTATGGTAGCTATTTTACAACAACTCCTGTAACAACAACTGGTTATGATCGAAATACATTTGATACATTTAGTTTAAATCCAAATTTAAATTTTACAACAACAACAAATACTAATGGATCATCAATGGCTACAGCATACAGTAATACAATTCAACAACAACAACAACAACAACTTTATGAACAATATGCTAATTCGTATGGACAATTAACAGGAAATACAAGGTAAATAAAGCTCTAACATCTATTGTTATTAATTTTTATAGAAAATAAAAATGAAGAAAAAAAAAGAAAGAAAGAAAAAGTGCATGAATAATTTAAAAATTTATTTAACAAACTTTAAAAAAAAAAACAAAAACAAAAATAAAAACAAGAGCAAAATTTCATTTTTATTAGATTATAAAAATTATTAGACAAATAAGAATAAAATTTCAATTTTATTTGAATTATAAAGAAATTCATAAAAATATAATTTTGTAAAATGCAAATTTTTTAAAATTTGATACAAGTAAAATTTTCAACTTTTCTAAAGACATT